CCAGGACCAGAAATTGGCAGCCACAGGGAGCTCCCTTGTTCACAGGGACTCTTGGCACGCGGAGCCCCTGTTGGGAGACGAGCCCCACGTCTGGTCCAGGGACACTCCCCTTGCTGGCCAGAGCAAGCTGGTCTTTTGGATGGGTGGGGGGTTTTCTCTGGAAGTGGGGTGGGGCTGGCTGCCAGAATTCAGGGGGAGAAGGGGAGAGGGACAGGGTCTCTCTCTCTCACATCCAGATTTGGACAGCCTTGCGACCAGCCTCCCACTTCCAGCTTGTTGGAACAGGGCTGATTCCTCCAATTTGTCCCCCAACCCCTGCTGTTCTCCCCTCCAGCCCATGGAGGGGGGGACCAGATGACCCTTTGGGTCTTTTCCAACTCTACAGGGTTGCATTTTAACTCTCTCGCATCACTCCGCTGGAAGATGAAGGGGGAGAATGAGGCCACCTGGATCCGCACTCTGGTTTATACTACATTTGCTCTTGTAAGCAAAACCCAAGTGCAAAAATGTCCCATCTATTTATTCAGCTGTGGCAATGGAGGCAGAGAGAGATGCAGATGGGAAGACTGGGCCCTTCAGCTGAAGGAGCAAGGGCTGGGCAATGGGACCAGCTGGGCCCTAGAGAGGAGGGGGGGGGAGGAGATGCTCTGCTTCCTCTCACAGGGCGGTAGGAAGAAATGCCACCATGAGTTTTAGGAGCAAAAGTTCAACTGGTTGCTGTGAGAAGTGCACAGCAAGCCCTTAGCAAAACGGGGAGCTCAGAACATAGACGAACTGTGGAACTCCCTGCCACAGGAGGCGGTGATGATCACCAACTGAGATGACTTTCAAGGAGGGTTGTGTGGGAATGTTAAGGAAGGTAGGGGAGGATATATTGTTTTGATATGATCCCTCCTCACTCAATGCTAGTGAGTAAGCAGCAGAGCACATTCCCTTTGCAACTTATCGGAAGCAAGTTGATGATTCGTTACATTCCTTTAATTAAGCCACCCAGTCTGGCTTGTCCTGTCTGGATTGTTCCTGGTAAGTTTCTCCTTTTATTTCCCTCTTAAAATAATAACCACACAACACAGTCTTCTTTAAAAATAAGAATAGAGTTTTGTACACATTCAGTTCACAGCAGTAATCTGAAGGCAGGTTTTATCTTGTGGTTAAAGCGAAAAGAAGTGTGAGCTACATCTCAGGCTTTCTGCTTGTGGGCTCCATCCCGTGTGAAGGTTGAGCCATGCGCTGGCTAAGAGCCAGGAGAGTCCAAGAGGAGGAGCATCAGGGGCCAAGAGGGAGATGGTTAACAAATGAAACTGATCTGTAGAAAATGTAACATGAAAAAAGAGACATACTTTTGTAAACCAAGAAATCTTTAATAAAAATACATTAAAAAAAGAGAGGGAGATGGTTGTGTGGCCAGTACTTTTACCTGGTCAGCTAGGGTCACGCCCAAGGAGATACCTGGTCACACGCAGGGGGAGGCAGGCACAAGAAGTCCCCCCTGCCTGGAGCCACATTCCCCTAAGTGTCCACTCGAGGCAACAGGAAAAGGTTGCACTTGACTGCTCTAGTCATAATACATCCCACAGATTGGACAAGATAATGGAGGAGGAGGAGAAGAGGGCTGTGGGTGGCTACCAGTCATGGTGGCTGTGCTCTTCCTTCAGCCAGAGGCAGGGATGCTTCTGAACACCAGTTGCTGGAAGCCACCAGAGGGGAAAGTTGCTCTTGCGCTGGAATCCTGCTTGCAGGTTCCTCACAGGATGAGACCAGGAGGCTGGACTAGGTGGGCCATTGGCCTGATCCAGCGAGCTCTGCTTGGCTTCTTCTAGGCGCTCTGCAGCTTGCTATCAGGCGGCCTCCTTCTTCTTCGCGGGAGGGCACTGCCTCCCCACCCAGAGAGACTCAATAGAAGGTTACTGTCCTTGCAGAGGAATGGTCCCATAATCTGCAGATGGATCAGCCCACACATTGGGGTCCTTTGCTCTTCCCTCTCTGTGGGAGCTGGTGCATTGCACAGGCCTGGTGGGGGTGGGGGTGCAGGGGCTGCCCCTCTCTCTTTCCTCTCCTCCTCCTCCTGCTCTCCTCTTCCGCTGGCCCCTCCCATTCCCCTACTCCCTAACCCAGGACCAGCCATGGTGTTGTGCAAGGTCACACCCCGAGTTTGCTGTGCACCCACAATTCTCCAGGCGGGGAACCTGCCACCAAACCAGCAACGGGTTTGAGTGTTGGACTGGGACCAGGGGGAGACCAGGGGATGAACCCCCCACTCACTGGGTGACTTTGGGTGCCAGTCTCCCTTCCGAACCTACCACACAGGGATGTTGTTTTCCCCCCACAGGGGGTGGGGGAGTTAAAGGTCTGATCCATTCACCCACCTCTGAGGCAGACCATACACAGTCAGTCTTCAACCATTAGCTCCAGAGCTGCCATTTTCCCCAAGCTAAAAATTTCTTTTTATCGTTACTTGACTTAACTAGAGGGGCCCCTTTAATCTGCATCCCCAGGAGATTTGCCTTTGCCCTCAGAATGTCCGGAACTTCCTTCCCACATTGTAGGAACATCCGAGCAGGAGAGCAGCTCTGGAGCCCAGCATCCGGGTCTCACAGTGGCCTGCCCAGGTGCCTGTGGGAATCCCACAATCAGGATTCGAACACAAGATCAATACTCTCCCCCCCCTGTGGTTCCCAGCAACGGGGATTCAGAAGCATCACTGTCTCAGGCTGTGGAAGCAGAGCATCACAAGGGCGGCCAGCAGTCATGGGCAGCCCTCTCCTCCTCCATCAATTTGTCAAATCCCTCATTTAAAGCTGCCCAGGTTGGTGACTCTGCTGCCTCTTGTGGGAGAGAGTTCCACTGTTTAACTCTGTTCTGCATGAAGAAGGACTTTCTTTTCTATGTCCTGAATCTTCCAACAGCATTCAGCTTCATTGGATGTCTGAGGTTTCTGCTGTGAGGAGAGTGGAAGACTTTTCTCCATGACAGGCATGATTTGCACACACCTCTCCAATTCCAGGGTTCCTTGGATGAAATGAATAATAATAATAATAATAATAATAATAAGTTTATTATCTGGCTGGGTTTTCCCAGCCACTCTGGGCGGCTCCCAACGGTATATTACAAACACGATAAAACCTTAAACATTCAAAACTTCCCTAAACAGGGCTGCCTTCAGATGTCTTCTAAAAGTCAGAGAGCTGTTTCTTTCCTTGACATCTGACGGAAGGGCTTGCTGTCCTTCTGCCGACACCATAATAGTTTCTTGTTCCAACAGGCCTTTGGGGAGCGGAAGGGTTTTGGGTTTTTTTTAACGCAAATGGCTTTAAAATAGTGCTGTGTTGTTGCCCTTATCTATATTTTGTGTGTGTGTGTGTGTGTGTGTGTGTGTGTGTGTATTCTCTTTCATTCTAACCCTTTCTACACCTTTTCCAGCTTCACAATATCCTTCTCACAGGATCATAGAATTGCCATCTAGTCCAGTGAACCCCTTGCAATGCAGGAAGTCCAGCCTCCTGCAATGGGACAACAAGACCAGAACAGGACAGATCTTGCTCAGGGCTGCTACTCCTTTGGCTCTTTCATGATCTACACCAGGGGGAGGCAACCTAAGGCCCGGGGGCCGGATCTGGCCCAATCGCCTTCTCAATCTGGCCCACGGTCGGTCCAGGAATCAGTGCATTTTTAAATGAGTAGAATATGCCCTTTTATTTAAAATGCATCTCTGGGTTATTTGTGGGGCATAGGAATCTGTTCGTGTGTTTTTTCAAAATATAGTCTGGCCCCCCACAAGGTCTGAGGGGTGGTGGACTGGCCCCCAGCTGGAAAAGGTTGCTGACCCCTGATCTGAACCTTTCACCTGTTCACCTACTTCCAAACTTCTGCTCACAGACACACTTCCAGCCCCTTCCCAGAGGACCACCATTCCTTGGACCGTATGGGAGTTGTTGTTCTTGTTGTTGCTGTTGTTAATAACTACATCAACAGCCACACAAGTCCTGGGTGTGGCTATGGGTACAAAGTCACCATCAGAAGAGCAAATAAACACTCAAACTCATGCACATCCAATGAAGGGTGGAAGATTGAGAAGGGGGGGAGGGGTGTTATTGGGTTGTTGTTTTTATTTTGATTATGTATTTTGTGGTTTTATATTCTGATTTTATTATGAGACCTGCAGGTATAGAGTGGTATATAAACTAGAAGAAGAAGAAGAAGAGGAGGAGGAGGAGAAGGAGGAGGAGGAGGAGAAGGAGAAGGAGGAGGAGGAGGAGAAGGAGAAAGAACTTTTCCATGCAGGACTTAGTTAACCTATGGAACTCCCTCCCACCAGAGGCAGGGGGGAGCCACTAACCTAGATGGCTTGAAAAGAGGATTGGGCAAATTCATGGGGGGTTAAAGGCTCTCTGTGGCCCCCAGTCCCAATGGCTGCGCTTGTCTCCTCAGCTGGAGGCAGCGAAGCTTCTGAGACCGCGGGAGAGGAGGGCTGCTCTTCTGCCTGAATCCTGTTTATGGGTTTCCCATTGAGGCCTCTGGGAGAACAGGATGCTGGACTGGGGTGGATGCTGGGCCTGATCCAGCAGCAGCCTCTTTGTCCGTCCTTCTGTCTTTGAGGGTGGCCTGTGGTCAGGGCTGCGCTGCCCATTTCAGCTGGGTGGGGAAGGTCTGCTAGGATCAGGCCCGTGGTCCCTCGCCGCCTCCTCTTTCTCTCTCTCTCTCTCCCAGAGCTGGGCTTGAGCTGGTCCCTCGACTTCATCCCTCTTTGCTCTTAAGCGAAGGCGGCCCTCGGGGGGGGGGGGAGGAGATCAAGGACGGCGTCCCGGAGCCCAGCAGGCGGGGTGTGGGGCTCAGGGAGGCGGCAGCCCCCTCCTCAGTCGCTCCCACCCAGCCAGCCCCCAAACGCCCACTCTCCTCCCTCCCTCCCTCCCTCCCTCCCTCCTTCTCTTTCTGTTCCAGAAAAGCGAATTCAGGAACCTGTGACGCTTCCCCCTTTGCTGATTCATTGGTTTGGGGAGTTTAAATACAGGGAGGAGAGCGCCGGAGAGCCGGAGAAGCAGCCCCAGCCCGGGACCGGGAGCGCATCCTGCTCAGCCTCTGCAGCCGCCTGAGGAACCACCGCCGGACTCCGCCCTCCTCCTTCAGCAGGTAAGTGTCGCCTCCCCTCCGTAAGGGGAGCTGCTGCCTCCTCAGCCCCCGCGGGGAAGGGGACTGTCCCGAGATGGAACCTGTTGCATTCTGTAGCTGCGACTCCTGCATCGCAGGGGGTTGGACTGGATGACCCCTGGGGTCCCCTACCCGCTCTGCGATTCCACTCTGCACCTGGCAAATGGAAGGGGCGCAAAGAGAAGCGAAAGGACCGGGAATATGCGCGGAACTCTAGGCGGCTGCAGCCGCGTGTCTGAATACTCGGAGGCGCCCTCGGGCTGGACAAGCTGCGAAATTCCTGTCTGCGGCGCTGCTTCTCCCGTGTCTGGGATGCTCCGAGGCCCCCTTCCCACGGGAGAGCCGCTGCCTTTTGAAGTTTTCCTCCCCGGGGAGGGCTCGGCTCGCTTCGCAAGCCCTTTCTCTGTAAACAAGGCTGTTCTGCAGGGAAAACCGTTTCCAGATGTGCCAGGGAAAGGGAGCCTGCGGTGGCGGGGGGGGGGCGGGGGGGCTGACTCTGCAGAGATTCCTTCCTCCCGAAGCCACTGTTTGCTCTGGCAGAGGAGCAGCGGAGAAGTCGGCAGCAGCAAGTGCCCCCCATTTCCGCCCCCTTCTCCTCGCTCTGGGGAGCTCAGAGGCGGCGTGGGCGACGTGCAGGATCCCACCCGGGCAGGATGCCGTGGAGTTGGAGGAGGTTCAGAAACGAGGGCAGTGGGGATGGAGCAACTACCCCAGGAAGAAAGGGGGCAGCGGTTGGAGGTGTTTAGTTTGCAGGAAAGGCGAGCGAAAAAGGAGGGGACAGAATTATGGAATCGTAGAGCTCGAAGGGCCCACCAGGGTCATCTAGTCCAACCCCCTGCGATGCAGGAATCTCGAACCCACGACCCTGAGATTAAGAGCCCCAAGCTCCACCAACTGAGCTATCGCCGTGGAAGTTTGTAAAACGTTGCCTGACAAGGAGGAAGCGGATAGAGAGAAGTTTTTCTCCGACCCTCATAACACGAGAAACTGCTGGGCACCCCTGGAAGCTGGAAGATTCAGGATAGATAGAAGGAAGCACAGAGTTAAACCGTGGAACTCCCTCCCACAGGAGGCAGGGATGGCCACCAACCGTGGTGGTTTTAAAAGAGGATGAGACAAGTTCCCGGGGTTGCATTGCAGGGGGTTGGACTAGATGACCCTGGAGGGCCCTTCCAGCTGTGATCCATGGTGGAGGAGAAGGCTAGCCTTGGCTGCCAGCCACAAGGGCCAGGCTCCTGCTTCTGAATAGCAGCTGCTGGAAGCTCTTGGGCTCGGATCCTGCTTGTGGGCTCCACTTTGGGGCAGAGAATCCTAGAATGGGAGAGTTGGAAGGGACCCCAAGGGCCATCTAGTCCAACCCCTTGCCATGCAGGAATGGGTGTCCATTGGGGGAACAGGATGCTGGGCCAGGTGGTTCTCCCATTCATATGCCTCTCTAACCACTTGGAAAGCACTTCAAGGTGCAGGGCGGGGGGCACAACAGTCCAGAAAAGGCGCTTCCAGGTCAAGATGCCCCTCCATTCACTCTCCAACTTGGGTCTCCAAATGTTGGACTACAACTCCCATCATCCCTAGCTAGTGGTCAGGAATGATGGGGGTTGTAGTCCAGCAACAGCTGGGGACTCAAGTTGGAGATACACTGCCCCACACCGTCGGTCCAGAAGAGGAAGGGAGGGGGGGTCCTTGGCGCTGCAGCCCCTGTGGGGAAACTGCAGCTGCCCTGCCTGGTAAGCTGAGCTGCCCCACGGCAGAGAGAAAAGGCTGGGGCCACAGGCGCCTGCAAGTGGGGTGGGGGCCACACCAGCAGGAGCCCCACCCACTGCAATGCCTCCTGTGGCACCAGCTGCACCCGCCAGGCTGTCTGCCAGCCCAAGAGGATCCTGCACGCCTTTCTTTCCAAGCTGGCAGGTGGCCACATAAAACTGTTGGCTCTGGCCTGGCTGAGTTTGCAGCCCTTCCTTCTGACGAGCGGCTGCCTTGAAATGGTCTGTTGCAAGGAGAAAAGCGCTGCTGCTGCCCCCCCAGCATGAGAGCCCTTCGCAGAATTGCAGAGTAGGGTGCCTCAGTGGAAGGCCTGCAAGTGGGATTCGAACACAAGAGCAACCCGCTCCCCTCCTGAGGTTTCCAGCAACTGGGATTCAGAAGCATCACTGCCTCTGACCGTGGAGACAGAGCAGAGCCGTCCTGGCTGGGAGCCCTTGGCAGCCTCCTCTTCCTCCTCCATGAATTTCTCTAATCCTCTTTTAAAGCCATCTAGGTTTGCAGGCACCACTGCATCCTGCAGCAGGGAGTTCCAGAGGTTAACTAGGCGCTGTGTGAGGGAGCCCTTCCTTTTATCCTGAAATCTTCCAACATTCAACTTCCTTGGCTGCCCATGAATTCTAGCATTGAGGAAAACTCTCCTTTCCATCTTTTCTTTTTTAAAAGTCCCAGGTGCTGAAATCTTTTTTCACAGGGGCTTCACCCCCTTGATCATTTTGGCTGCTCTTTTCTGAACCTTCCCCGTGTTTGCGATATCCTTTTTGAGGTGAGGCAACCAGAACCGTACACCATATTTACCCTGCCCTTCCCAGCTCTCTCCTGCAGGCCTGGACCTGGCTGGCTACTGCTGGTGCTCCCGTGATGGGGTCTCCCTGGCATCATGCGCTACTCCTGGCCAGCGAAGATGAGCTCCTGGGCCCTGAAGGCAGAGCAGCAGCCCATGCGCTTGCCAAGACTCAGCGCTCAGTGCCGCCTCCAGAGCATGCCTTGGCTGTGTGCAATTACTGCAGCCACAAAGCTTTCTCTGACCACCAGCCTCGTTCAGAGTTTCCAGCCAGGAGCCTCACCAGCGAATATTATTCCGCTCCGAGCCCTCAAGCGCGCCAGACACTCTGGGGAACATTTTGGCCTCAGGCGCTGATGAGGAGCACATTCAGGCCCAACCAAGGGAGGCAGCCTCGTAATTTTCTCATCTTGGAAGCGCTGAGCTCTGCCGGACTTCCTGGTGGATCATTTGTGGCAATGTCCAGGGTGGCAGGAGAGGAGATATTGTTCATTCATATCCTTCCTAACTTGCGCTAGCAAATTCCTTTATGTAGCAGAGTTTACATTCCCCTTTTTACACGCGCAGCAGATAGCTGGTTGCAGGCTCGTGTGAGCCTCTCACTATTATACAATTCAGTCTGTCTCAGATTGAATTGTACGTTCCTGGTAACTTCCCTTGAATCCCTCTTAAAAGAACAAAGAGGCCACAACCTTATTCAAAGTCAATAAAATAAGTTTACTCACATCAGTTCACAGTTGGATTCCTGAAGGCAGACTTAGTTAGAAATATGTACATGTGGATCTACCCCATTTGGGGGAATAATCCCAGTGCTTCTGCTATCTGAAAGCATAGCAGTCCCTAGCTAAAAAGCTGGTCCTACAAAGAAGGAAGTCAAAAAGAGAGAGAGTGCTGCATGACTCGTTCTTTTGTTACCTGGACAGGTAAGGTCATGCCCACCTTCTATCACATGCAAACGAAGGATGCTCTAGCCAGGAGGAACAGGAAGTTTCGACTGGCTGGACCAACATCCCCTTGCATGTTCACTCTAGGAAAACAAGGAAAGTTGTATTTTGACTGCTCAAATAATATCGTAATAAATAATATCAGGAAAAAAGGTTGGCTCTCGTGCATGTTCACTTCTTCAAATCTGGCCCTCTTTGAAAAAAGTTTGGGCACCCCTGGCTTACGTCCTTCTGCTCTTAACGCCTGACCTGTCTTTTGCCCACAGGCCCCATGGATCCCAGAGGCCGTGCCCCTCTTCTGCTGCTGGCGGGCTGCCTGGCGCTGGCCCTGGCGTGGGCTCAGTGCCCCGAGGAGTGTGCCTGCTCCCGGACGGCGCAGGTGGAGTGCTCGGGACCCCACATCTCGGCCATGCCCGGCCCCCTGCCCGCCAACGCCATGAGCCTGCAGGTGATTGGCACCCAGCTGACGGAACTGGGGGCGGGGGCCTTTGGCAACGCCTCTCTGCTCATCGCCCTGCGGATGGAGAAGAACAGCCTGGCGCGCCTGAACCCGGACACCTTCCGGGGCCTGCTCTCCCTCCGCTACCTGAGCCTCTCCAGCAACCGCCTCCAGGAGCTGCCCGCCGGCGTCTTCCGCAGCCTCGACAAACTGGAGTCGCTGCTGCTCTCGGGCAACCAGCTCCTGCGCCTGAACCCGGCGCTCTTCAGCCGCCTGGGCACCCTCAAGGAACTCCAGCTGCATGGCAACAGCCTGGCGTCCGTCCCTCCGGGGGCCTTTGACCACCTGCCCTCCCTCCTCAAGCTCAACCTGGCCAAGAACCGCCTCTCCCGCCTCCCGCCCGCCCTCTTCGCCCACCTGGGCCGCCTGCAGGTGCTGCGCCTCTATGAGAACCAGCTGGCCGAGGTGGCCCCCCGCGCCTTCGCCGCCCTCCCGGACCTGCAGGAGCTGGGCTTGCACCAGAACCGCATCCGGCGCCTGCCCGACGGGCTCCTCTCGGCCAACCGCCGGCTGCAGAAGCTCCACCTGTCCAACAACCGCCTGGAGACCCTCCCGCGGGGGCTGCTCCTGGAGCTCCCTGAGCTCTCCCGCCTCTCGCTCTTCGGCAACGCGCTCCGGGAGCTCCTGCCGGCCACTTTTGGCCCCATGCCGCGGCTGAAGGAGCTGTGGCTCTACGACAACCAGCTGGCCCAGCTGCCCGCCGGTGTCTTTGCCAACCTGACGGAGCTGCAGCTGCTGGTGCTGAGCAGGAACCGGCTGCGCTCCATCTCCCCGCTGGCCTTTGAGGGGCTGGGGGAGCTGCTGGAGGTCTCCCTGCACACCAACCAGCTCCGCACCCTCGACGGGGAGACGTTCCGGGGTCTGGGCAAGCTGCAGAACATCTCCCTGCAGAACAACCGGCTCGTCTCCCTGCCAGCGCGCCTCTTCAACGGCACACCACACCTGGTGAACCTCCAGCTGCAGAACAACTCCCTGGAAAGCCTCCCGGCGGGCGTCTTCGAGCAGCTGCCCCGCCTGAGGGAGGTCAAGATGCACGACAACCCCTGGCGCTGCGACGACGCCCTGATGGCCCTCGGGCGCTGGCTGAGGGAGAACAGCGCCCGCCTGGGGGGCAGCCGCCCTGTCTGCACCTGGCCTCCCGCCTTGCAGGGGCAGCCCATTGCCAAACTGGAGGAGGAGCACTTCGGTCCGGCACAGAGCCCAGAGGCCACCGAGGGGCCCACGATGTCCACCTCCGGCCAGGCGGAGGTCCCTGACCAGGACACGAGCCCAGAGACCGTGATGCCCACGCGTGCCCAGCCGCCCCTGGACCACGAAGGTGGCAGCGCAGAGGCAGAGCAGGAGTTTTCCACGGCAGCCCCCAGGGTGCTCACCCCAGGCGTTGCGCCGGCCGAGGGGGGCATCTGGGGCTTGACGCGCACCCAGACAGGGGTGGTGGTCACCTGCCTGGTGGTGGGCTCTGCCTTGCTCCTGGGGACGCTGCTGGCGGCAGCTGTCTATGGGTACAGGAGGAAGGCCCGCCGGGACCTTGCCAAGGCATAGAAGGGCGCTCAGGAGAGCTAGCCAACCAGACTGATGAATGGGGTCAGGGGGGAGGGCAGTGGGGTGGGAGGGGGAGATGCCGGGCTCTGTATCCCTTTCCCCAGATGTGCCACCCTCCCTCGGGCACAACGGGCACCCTCCCACCTGCTCACGCACATGCCCTTCTGAAGCAAGGGGCCGATGGATGAGTCAGAGAATTGGAAGGGGTCCCCCAAAGGTCATCTAGCCCAACCCCTTGCAGCGAAGGAAGCTCTTCCATAGACCCACTCATGTGCACCCCTCTGCAGCCTTTGCAGCCCAGGCTAGCTGGGCAGGATGAGGCCCTTGTCTGTCCTGCTTCGCCAGGTGCTCTGCATCCCGTGGTCATTCAGCCATGCAGGCAATCCTCTGTGGCTGGAGAGCGGGGCTGCTCTTTGGGCAGCGGTGGGGATGTGGGCAGCTTTGCTGTCCCTGCCCTTCGGGAGAGGCAGCGGTGGCATAGTGGTTAGAGCGCTGGACTAGGAACCTGGGAGAGTCCAGGGCTTGATGCTCCCCTTGGGGGCCAGTCTCTGCCTCTCAGCCTAGACTGCCTTGCAGGGCTGTTGTGAAGAGAACCACACTCACTCGCTGGAGCTCCTTGGAGCAAAAGGTGCTATATAAATGCCATGAAATATATGAAATGTAACGGGTGACACCCCCTCAGGGTTCAGTCCTGCCAGAGGAGAGAAGGAGACTTGGCTCCTGGGCCTGCCTTCTGTGGGCCACTGGCCTGGGCTGAGCCACATGCTGCTTCTGCTGAGGGAGGGTCCTCAGCCCCTGGGGGGCAGGGGAAGCTCAGGGGCCGGTGGGGGTTGCAGCGGGGGGAGAGGGGGGAGGCCCCTGTTGGGAAGCCAGACTGGGATCCCTGCAAAGTCAGGGGGCAAAAGAAGCCTGGCCGCTGCTCTCCATCTAGCTCAATGCTGGCAGCACTGGCCTGCAGCATCTCCCTAGGCTGGGGTTCGAATCCTGCCTGTGGGTTTCCCATGGGGCATCCGGTTGGCCACTGTGGAGGCAGGGTGCTGGACCTGCTTTGGCTGCTCCAGGCGGCTCCTCTGATCTTAGAGAACCTGCCTGTCAGAGGCAGTCTATCTCCCTTCCAGGTTCTTTGGGGCAGTCAGCCACTGGAGGACGGCCGCCACTCCTTTCTCTGTAGATGAAACACTCCGGACGGATTCACTTTGGGGGCGTCAAATTCCTTGGAGGAAGAACTCTCTTTCGAAGACACTCTGTTTGTGGAATGCTCAATAAAAAACACATGTGGTTACGGTTTTAGCCCCGACTACGTTTTGTGAACTTTGGGTGGGCTTGAGGGATCCCTGCACTTCTCTTCCCCTGAAATCAAACACCCTGATGGGGGGGGGGAGAGTGTTGCATTTTTAGGTCTGCTTCTGACATCAGTGTACAAATGGTGGTGAATTGGGTACAACAGCCCTGCAGTGTAGGCCACTGATAATTTTGCAGGTTGGAGGCGGGGCTGAGGCTGGTTTGCCTTTCCAGGCTGAAACTCACGATATATAAACTGCTCCTCAGGTCGCAGTGAAGTTCAGGGTCCTTAAATTGCCCCCTCCTGACCCAAATCTCAGAGTGGATCTGCCCCATACATTTAAAGCACATCCAGCACACACGGAATGGAATAATAGAATTGTAGAGTTGGAAGGGACCCCCAAAGGACATCCAGCCCAACCCCCTGCATTGCAGGAAACTCAGCTCAAGCATCCAGGACAGCACCAAACCTCTGTTTAAAAACCTCCAAGGAAGGAGCATCCCCACCTCCCAAGTTCTTCCCGCTGTTGGGTCTCCTTTCTGGTCACTTGAATCTGTTGATTTGGCTCCTCCCTTCTGGATCAGGAGAGAACAAACTTGCTCCACCTTCCATGTGGCATCCCTTGAGATATTGGAATATTGGAAGATGACTCTTGTGCTGCCTCTAAGACACCTACCGTATTTTTCGCTCAATAACACGCACCTGACCATAACATGCACATAGTTTTTAGAGGAGGAAAACAAGAAAAAAAATTCTGAATGAAACAGTGGATGTATGGTACTTCTCCAGGTTAATAATAATAATAATAATAATAATATATTATTTTTACCCCTCTCATCTGGCTGGGTTTTCCCAGCCACTCTGGGCAGCTTCCAACCAAATATTAAAAACAATACAGCATCAGATATTAAAAGCTTCCCTAAACAGGGCTGCCTTCAGATGGATTATAAATGTCAGGTAGTTGCTTATCTCTTTGACATCTGGTGGGAGGGCATTCCACAGGGTGGGCGCCACCACCGAGAAGACCCTCTGCCTGGTTCCCTGTAACCTCACTTCTCACAGTGAGGGAACCGCCAGAAGGCCCTCGGCGCTGGACCTCAGCTGGATGACGGGGCTGGTTTGACTTCCAGACCTGTGGCTGCTGTGAACTTTCTGGAGCCAAACAGTGGAGAATCTCCCAAGCCCCACACTTCTGCCACCAATGCGCAAATCCCTCCTGCACTCAGGGGGCTGCTGTGGGGTCTAAGTCGAGGGCTCAGCATGCAGGCAGCAGCAGCAGCAGGGCTGACTCTCCTGCCCACGGGCCCTGGGATACCAGGCTCCCTGAGATACCAGGTATTGTGGGGTGGTTCCCCTCATCCCACATCTGGTCCTTTGAAGGCAAAACAGCCCTGGGTAGTTTTAATTGAAGAGCAGCCCAGAAGTGTTTGGAGGGAAGGAATTAAGGAACGACTGGCGGTTTCTGCCGCATGCCAGGCCGGCCTCCGCATATTGCAAAATCAAACCTTCCTCTGTTATTTGCTGTTCTCCAAAAAGCGAAAAACATACTGATTAAGCACGGGGTGGGGATCCTCTTCTCCCTTTTATTTTCTGCACCAGATAAGGCAGGAGAGGCCCTTTGTAGGGGCTGCTCTTTGGAGGAAGGCAAAGCCGCTATTAACTTTCCTGCTCAAAAGCAGAAGCTGCTCAGCCTCTCCCACTCGCTCCCCTCCTGTACTGAAGGCACCAAAAGTGGTTCCCTAACTTTTAGGCAAGGGTGGAGGAAGGGGGGTGTGGGACACCCTGGGTGTCACCACTGAGGGGGTGACATAATGCCAGGCGGCACTCACTGCGGGGCCTGCAGTGCGCCTGAGCCATGCGTCTCTCCTGGGAGTAATGCAGTGGCTTGGGCACCCGCAGGCTCTGCTCTGCCCCAAACGGTCCGCCTGCCACCTCCCCCTCAGCTGTAGGGTGGCTGAGTGGAAGGAGGCAGGCAGACTCCTCGGAGACCCCACAATGTGTCCGGCCCCGGCTCACCTGGCTCCGCCCCTGGGCACAAGGCATGGGTGCTGCCCCAGGCGCCCAATCGGCTTGCTCCACCACTGCTTTTAGGGGCCACCCCTGCCCAGTTGCCAGTGCCCCATTCTCCCATACACACTCTAAAAAGCCCTATTCGGAATAGCAGGATTGCACAACCAGCAAAGAAGACAATCGCGCACTAAAATGCAAAGCTGTGATAATTCATTGCACATATATTCAAAATCCAATGAAAACTATTCAGCGTAATTAATTCAGCAAAAAAGTCTCGTTTTTACACCTCCAGCTCCCCCTCCTTCCCCCGCTTGGTTCTCACAGGGGCTGACCAGATTCCCCAAAGGGAAACCACAGCAGGATTCGAACACAAGAGCAACACTCTCCCCTCCTGTGGTTTCAGAAGCACCGCTGCCTCTATCTGTGGAGGCAGAGCAGAGCCATCCTGGCTGGGAGCCATTGACAGCCCTCTCCTCCTCCATGAACTTGTCCTAGGATACTTTGAGAGAGATACTTTGAGGTGCCTCTGCTCCCTCCAGGCAGTCCTTCCTGCTGCCTGTTTGCCCAGAGGCCAGTGCCGTCCCCGCCCCCTCTGAGGCCACCGGCCCTTGCCCGGAATCTGCGGGGACCCAGGACGGGGCCTCCGATAAGCAGGGACCGCCAGGTCCATCCCACTTGGTGGGTCAGTGACTTCCCATCTTGGCTGGCAAACACCGCAGAGCGAGAGGCTTTTCTGGCAGGCAGAGGAGGGAGGACGGCAGCATGGCTGTGCCTGAGGGCCTGGACCCGCCCAGGGTAAGTGCCCAGGGGTCCCCCAAAATGGGCAGGAGCACACCAGGCCCCCCTTTTAGCAGAGGGTGGGGTGGGCAGGGCAAAGGGGTCTGGGCTCTCAGTTGAGGGGGTTCTCACATTGTTGGGCACGGGGAGAGCAATGGGTCTCCTCAAAGGTCACCCTGGTGGTGGAGGGTTTTAAGCAGAATTAGGGGGGGGGGATTCTGAAGCTGTGATTCCTCCATGGCAGGGCAACTGGGCTAGATCACCCTCCCACTCTACAATTCTGTGATTTGGGTGCGACTGCTCAGATTTGAGCCCTGCCAGCTGGGAGTGAGAATCTGGTCTAAGGCCGTTCCTGCACCAGATATGTGAAGCAGGTCAGAGGATCCTGGGAACTGTAGTTTGTGAAGGGTGCTGGGGATTGTAGCTCTGCGAGGGCTAAACTACTGTTCCCATTGGGGTGTGTGTGTGTGTGTGTGTGTGTGTGTGTGTTTTAGGGGCGGAATGCACTTTGAAGGTGCTTTAAGGGTTAGGCAGAGGCTGGTGCCCCTTGTGCCATTGCACAAGGACGGTCCAACATCACGCGCCCCGATTTGTTATGGCAGGGGGGGTGGGCAGAGGGAAGCCCCCCAGCCACTGGCTTACAGGAAAGGCAGGGGCGACCTGGTGCCATTGTCCAAATGAAATGCCCTCCTCAGTCTCTGCGTGGCATCAGAGGCCTCTTCCAACAAAAAAAATGAGGATTTTCCCCTTACAGCAAAAAACCACCAATAGTGTCTTTCACATCTGTAGGAAGACACAGGGCTCTTGCCAGCAACTAAGTGCCTCTCCTGGGGGCAGAAAAAGGGCACCTAGATGAGGATATGGATATGGGATAGAACTCAAAGCCAGAGCTAAAGGAAGGAAACGAGTGCCCTTTGGATCCGTGCTTTCTGGGGGGGGGGGGCAAGCAGAAGCCCTGACAAGCCCCCAGCCAGTGACACTGATTAGCAGTCAAGGCAAACTATTCATTATCATCATTTCATAAAATGTCTACACTTCTTAACTGTAAAGAAACCACAAAACCCTCCACACCCTCAAAGTGGTTTACATAAAGATAAAACTATAAAATCAAGAAAAGTTTATAAGAACAGTTTTAAAACATATAAAAAGTTAAAATACTGAAAGAGCTTTAAATTCACACCAGCTTTTCAAGCATCTGGACAGGCTTGAAGAATGTTTTTAGACAAGAAAGTTTTTAGAAAGGTGTTAAAAAGAACCAGAGAAAGTGCCTGTGTGGTATCAAGAGGCAGGGAGTTCCAGAGGTTAGGGGCTGCCACTTCTTCTTCTTTGACGATCACTCGTAGCTGAGTAAGATTGTCTTCCATGAACACGGTTTTAACAGTGGGTCCGTAAGTGACTGTGGAGGCCAATTCTGGATCCGCACGTCCTTCCACAGTGGGCAGCATTTTCTCTTTTGCCTGCTGGGCCAGCCTGGCCTCAGTGCTCTCCTGCGCTCAGTGGTCGAACAGCATATCCTCTCCTGCCTTCCTGAACATCCCCCCACTTACTGGCCTTCCTTTGCCTTCCTCTCCCGCAGGGCAAATGGGTGGCCGTCGGGCACTTCCTGCTGCTTTGCCTCTCGGCCCTGGCACAGCCCGGTGGCCCCGCGGTTCCCTGCCCGGCTCTGTGCCAGTGCTTTGGGAACCTGACCGTCTTCTGCTCGGATGAAGGTCTGGAGGACATCCCCGAGGGGGTCCCCGCCGGCGCCACCCAGCTCTTCTTCGTGGGAGCCCCCCTGTTCTCGCTTCAGAGCGGGGCTTTCGCCAACAGAACCGGCAGCCGCCGCCTCGCCAAACTCGCCTTCCTGGGCAGCCCCCTCCGGTCTCTGGGGCGCGCGGCCTTCGAGGGGCTGCCGGAGCTCCGGGAGCTGGAGATCTCGTCCAGCCAGCTGAGCGCTCTGAGCGGAGAGGCCTTTCTGGGCTTGGCCAACCTCAGCACCCTCGCCGTCAAGTTCAGCCCCATCAAAAGCCTGGAGACGGAGCTGTTCAGCAACACGCCGCGCCTAGAAGCCCTCCACCTCCAGGGCAACGAGGTCGGGTCTCTGCCCCAGGACGTCTTCCGCCCGCTGTCATCCCTCAAGACCCTCACCTTGTCCCAAAACCACCTCGCGGAGCTGCTCGCGGAGGTCCTCGGCCCGCTCTCGGCCCTGCGGGTGCTGAAGCTGAGCGACAACCGCTTGGCTGGCCTCCCCGCCGGCCTCTTCGGCCCCCTGAGAGAGCTCCGGGAGCTCTTCTTGGACGGCAACGCCCTGGCAGAGCTGCCCCCGGGCACCTTCGCCCCGCTGAGCGCCCTGACGCGCCTCCACCTCCAGCACAACGCCCTGGAGCGCCTGCCAGCCGCGGTCTTCTCCGCCCAGCGCAACCTCACCTTCCTCTACCTGGACGGCAACCGCTTGGCGGAGCTGCCCGACGGGCTCTTCCAGGGCACCCCTCACCTCGCCGAGCTCTCCCTGGCGGGCAACCGTCTCCAGAGCATCCCGGAGGGGCTGTTTGGCAAGCTGGGCAGCCTGGCGTTCCTGGGGCTATCGCACAACCGCCTCGCCCACCTGCCTGCCGGGGTCTTCCAGGGTCTGAGCGCCCTTGCCAGGCTGCAGCTGAGCCACAACAACCTCACGGCCCTGCCGAGGGGCGTCTTTGCCAACCTCACCACCCTGGAGGCCTTGGACCTGTCCCACAACCAGCTGGCCACCCTGTCGGAAGGGGTCTTCGAGGGCAACGTCATCCTGGGCCATGTGGCCCTGAAGGGCAACCCCTGGACGTGCGACTGCCACCTGGCTCCCCTGAAAGACTGGCTCCAGGACACGGACCCCCTGATCAACGCGCGGGCCTTGTGCAGGAGCCCGGCTCACCTGCAGGGGCTGAGCCTGCCGGCCGTGCAGAAAGAGCAGCTGGTCTGTCGGCGGGGCCTGGCGCCCTCCCGGTGCCGGGCGGAGCCGGGGATGGAGGAGACCTCCGCGGAACCCAGCGCCCGCCCTCCGTGCCCCTACCAGGATCCGGCAGGTGCCATCCACCTGGCGTGCGACCGCGACGCTTGCCACCAGCTTAGCCTGAGTCTCCCGCCGGGAGAGAGCCTGCAGGAGGCAGGGCAGCGTTTCAGCCAGGACTGGATCCTGGACTCGGGCTGCGGCGCCGTGAAGGTCCGGGTGGCCGTGAGCATTGAGCCCCTGCCCGGAGGGGAGGCGGTGGCAGCCCCCTCGGAAGCCCCCTGAGGCCGGCATCCCCTGCCCTGCCAGTGTGGCCCGGAGAGAGGGGGAGCCCTCCGGAGAGAGGGGGCTCCAGCCCCACCTGAGCCTTGCTGCATCCTCATGGGGACGAGGGAGGCCTACACTGCAGGGCTGTCGGCAGGACGTGCTTGGTATCATCACAGACGCTAACAGAAACAGAAGCCGTTGTGACCCAAATCAGGCTTTGTCTATGTAGTTTTATCTGCGGGTCTCCCCAGGATCCCAAAGGTCACCCAGTGGGGATTCTGAAAGCATGGATCCACTGCCTCCCAGGGCACGGTGGGGGTGTACGTCTTGTAGGATTTGCGGCCTGAAGCAGCAATTATATATTCTGTCACTTTCATTTCATATAATAAACCAAGCTTTCTTTATTCCTTTTGTGTGGGAACTTATTGTGGGCATGGGGTAAGGGTAGACACACATTCATAACTGGGCATAGGTTATAACTCTAGCAAAATATAGTAGTAGTAGTAGTAGTAGTAATAATAATAATAATAATAATAATAATAATAATAAAATGATGAAAATGGCCCCCAGATAGTATTTAACACCTACCAGATTGGCGAAAATGTCTAAAAAAAGAAAAAGGTATGTGTTGGCAGTGTAATGAAATTGAGGGATCTTTTAGTCACACGTCCTGTAAAATAATTAAGGAATATTGGGAAACTATATATAATGAATTATAAGAGATATTTTAAAAACTTTTCCCCAAACCCCTGACATTTTTCTCATGGGGATGATAACAACAGAGGTCCCCAAAAAACAAGAGAGTTTACTACTATACACTACGTCCACAACTAGAACCTTCTTGCCACAAAGGTGGAGAAGTCTAGTACCTGTGGGATGTGAAGCACAGAGCAGTCAAATACAGCATTCCGAGAGTGGACATGCAAGGGGAGGCTTTGTACCAGCCAGCAGGTCAACTTCCTGTTTCCTCCTGGGCTGGGGCAAACTTCCTCTACCTGTGCCTAGAGATGGGCGTGACCTTACCTGTCCAGGTAACACAAAAGGGCAAGGCACAAAGCCCCCCCCTCTCTCTGGCTCCATTCATAGAAGAAGCAACATCTCTTTAGCTAGAGATGCCTTGTTGCTTCCAGCCAACAGAGCACAAAGGGACTATCTCCTTATGGGATAGATTCCATGTGTATAACAAATTGGATGATTAAAAAGATGTGGATCACGCGGAGCAGCAGAAAAGCAAAGGAACCAGGAAAAAGGCGGAAGGGAAGTCATATGGTATATGTATAAAGTGGACGCTTGGGCTGCGAATGTGGTCCATGCGGAACGCACATTGACAACCTGCAGCATTCTCAACCTGCAGCGGCGCATCTGCGCATGTGCGGGTTGCGATTCGGCGCATGTGCGACCACTGAAACCTGGAAGTAATCCCTTCCAGTATTTCCAGGTTTTGGCGGTCCGTAACCTGAAAAAATGCAACCTGAAGCGCCTGTAACCCGAGGTATGATTGTACATGCTGTTTTTGATACAAAGTTTTAATTGGGACAGGGGGATGGGAGGGAAGGGGTTAAATATGCTCTCTCTTCCTGTATTTGAAAATACAAAATGAAAAACAAGATAGGAAAAGGTAGTAAGGGAACACCTAGCTATCTTAAAGGAATTCAAATCTCCGGGTCCTGATGAGCTGCAGCCAAGGGTACTAAAGGAGCCTGCAGATGTAATTTCAGAGCCTGTGTCTATTATCTCTAAGAATTCTTGGAGAACAGGTGAGGACCCTACAGACTGGAGGCGGCAAATGTTGTCCTCATCTTCAAAAAGGGGAGAAAAGGAAGACCCAGGTTACTACCAATAGGTGAGCTTGACATGGATACCAGGAAAGGTCCTAGAACAGATAATGCCACAGTTGGTCTGTGAGCATGTAGAAAAGGCTATACTATACTGGGACGCGGGTGGCGCTGTGGGTTAAACCACAGAGCCTAGGACTTGCCGATCAGAAGGTTGGCGGTTCGAATCCCCGCGATGGGGTGAGCTCCCGTTGCTCGGTCCCAGCTCCTGCCAACCTAGCAGTTCGAAAGCACGTCAAGTGCAAGTAGATAAATAGGTACCGCTCCGGCGGGAAGGTAAACGGTGTTTCCGTGCGCTGCTCTGGTTCGCCAGAAGCAGCTTAGTCATGCTGGCCACATGACCCGGAAGCTGTACGCCGGCTCCCTCGGCCAATAAAGCGAGATGAGCGCCGCAACCCCAGAGTCGGCCATGACTGGACCTAAGGGTCAGGGGTCCCTTTACCTTATACTCTACTGAGATGCTTAAATGTTTCTTGGGTTGTCCCTGAATCTTCCTGTCCACTTGCCACCTTTTCCTGCCTCTCCAGGGCCGTCTGCCCCACCCTCGGAGAACCCCTGTGCTGGAGGGGTCCCATCTAACTCTGCAATTCTATGGTCCCAGAGGGACCCTTCCCAGTTAAGAGCCGGGCCCAGGCCTTGGCTGATGCCCAGTTTTGTGACAAGAATTCGTCACCTGGGACCCTTTATCTCACCAGACAGACCTGCCCAACATCTGCACAGGGCAGATCTTCGCCTCCCGGGCGCTGGATGCCTCCCTCAGATAAGGCTGGAGGCGCTTCGCTCGGCAGCCTGTGCACGACTCTCCCGGCTCAGCAAAATGTCCGGCAACCGACTTTGGTAAGTGCTGAAAGGCTCCCCAGGGCTTGGAAGGAGCTTCCTTCCAAAATGTCCGGCAACCGACTTTGGTAAGTGCTGAAAGGCTCCCCAGGGCTTGGAAGGAGCTTCCTTCCAGCCCATCTCTCTGCCCACCAGGCTGCTGCTCTTCTCTGGGCTCCTGCTGCCTTGAAGGGGGCTCAGAACCTCAGAGCAGGGGTAGGCAACCTAAGGCCCACAAGCGGGCCACGGGGGTCATTTAACCGGCCCACGAGCCGCCCCCAAACTGAGCCGCCTGCTCGGCGAGTCCCCCCACCCTGCGCTAAATCGGCACAGCATGGCACGGGGACTTGCTTCTACGGCGCCGGAAATAGTGTCTGCGCAGACACAGAAATCGCGGGCTGGAAATCGCGGGTATGCATGCTCACTCACACGCACAATCCACCCCACAGAGGGATCTCCGCTGGAGGGAATCGGCCCAGGCGAGGTAAACCTTGCCAACCCCTGGTTCAGAGAGACCGGCTCACCCGCAAAAGCGCCAAAGCTCACCTGCATCCACTCGGCCGCCTCCAGCGGTGGAATTGGCACTGTAATCCCTGTTCGGCATTTGCAAGATCTGATCTATTGGGCTGTGGAACTCCCTGCCTCTTGAGATCAAGCGGGTGCCTTTGCTGCCCTCTTTGGGGCACCTGCTCAAAAGCCTCCTTGTCTAGGCAAGCCTGCCCGGCTGTTTAGAAATGCTGCTATGAATGGGAATCCATTTTAGCATTTTAACTTTCTGTATGTCTGGCTGATTTTCTTGTTTTATCTTTCTGTAACTGCTTTGAGGTGGCTGTTTTTTAAGAAAACAAAAACCGTGTATAAATTTTGTGAACTAAATAACGGATCTCCACCTGTCAGCTCCCTTGCTGTGCACGTGTGTGTGTGTGTGTGTGTGTGTGTGTGTGTGTTTTGTGTGTTTGTATGAAGCTAGAGCAGCTGCTTTGCATTCAGAATGTGCAAGTTTCCATCCCCTGGCTGAAATTTGGGAGAGCTTTTGCCAGTCAGTGCAGGCAGTATGGAGTAGGTTAGAGGGACGGCAGCTGCCTCTGCTCTTTGGGGAGGGAGGACCCAGCTGGAGGGGAAAGGGTGGTGGGGAGGATCAGGATTTTTCTGAGTATTTTAAAATGACAGTTGTTTCTAGTGGTTGGGAGGGAAAATATAAGAGAGCTGTGAGTCAGTGGCTCCATTTCTCAGAGGCAGCAGCCTCCCTCCCCTGCTTAACCACCATTCTTCCTCTTTGCCAGAAGTCCTGCCTTTGGGGTCGGAAGGCTGGTTGTGGGGGGAATGGAGGCTCAGGGGTCTGGAGGGGAGAGGCTTTGGCCCGGAGGCAGGGGGCCGGGTCTGCTGCTTGTTTGGACTCTCCAGTGTTAACGGAGAAATCTGAGGGCTCCCTTGGACAAAAAAACAAGGAGACCAGCCAGGAAACTATCTCATAAGGAGACCGTCCCTTTGTCCCTTCTTGGCTGGAGGCCAAGAGGGCATCTTTGGCTAAGCAGATGTTGCTTATTCAATGTCAAGCGGACACGGAGCAATGGATCCAAACTACAAGAAAGAAGATTCCACCTCAACATTAGGAAGAACTTCCTGACAGTAAGAGCTGTTCGACAGTGGAATTTGCTGCCAAGGAGTGTGGTGGAGTCTCCTTCTTTGGAGGTCTTTAAGCAGAGGCTTGACAACCATATGTCAGGAGTGCTCTGATGGTGTTTCCTGCTTGGCAGGGGGTTGGACTCAATGGCCCTTGTGGTCTCTTCCAACTCTATGATTCTATGATTCTATAAAAGAGAGAGAGATGGCTGCCCTGCCCTGTGCTTTTGTCGTTACCTGCACAGGTGAGGCCACGCTCACCTCTAGTCACATGCAGAGGAAGTCTGTCCCAGACCAGAAGGAAACAGGAAGTTGACCTGCTGGCTGGACAAACATTCCTCCCATGTGTAAACATCTTCACTCTAGGAATGTTGTATTTGACTGCTCCCACAAAACAGCAGATTGTGAAGGAGCTGGGTGTGTGCGTGATGCAGCAGACCCCGGGAATCCGGACGCTCCAGCTGCAGAGAGGCTTGCCAGATGTGCGCTCTCTTGGTGAAAAGGCTAATGGACATCTCTTGCTTTCTTCCAGGATGGTGCCCACAGTGGCCATTGTCCTCCTCCTCTGCCTGGCCTTTGGAACTGGCCAGAGCCCGGCCGCCTGCACAGGGGCCTACGACTGCCCCAAGGCCCACCAGGAAGTCTACACCAAACTAAGGGACGTGACGGAGATCCCAAAGACCGCCAGCACCATCATCACCGAAATGATCTTTGTGCAAACCAGCTTAACAGAGATCAAGAGCGGAGCCTTCCGGAACATGCCCGGCCTGCAGAAAGTCCTGTTCATTGGCAACAAGATCAAAACCGTAGAGGTGGGGGCCTTTGATAACTTGGAGAAACTGGATGAGCTGGAAATCACGCAGGCTGAGCTAGACGACCTCCCTGTGGGCACCTTCCGCTCTCTTCCTCGCTTGCAGAAGCTGAATCTGCGGGACTCTCAGATCAAGGGCCTCCAGAAAGGACTCTTTGAGGATCTCGGGGAGCTGGAGGAGATCTATCTGCATATGAACGAGATCCCTTCTCTCCCCGAAGGCGTCTTTGATGGGCTCTCCAACCTGACCTTTTTGCACCTGGCCAGGAACAAGGTCGCTGCCATCCCAGAGGACGTCTTCAAGGAACTTCCTCGGCTGAAGGTCCTCCGGCTGTACGAGAACGAGATCAGAGACCTCCCGGAGGGGAGCCTGGACAGCCAGCAGGACCTGACGGAGCTTGGCCTCCAGAAGAACAAGATCCGCACGCTGCCTCCCAGGGTGCTGAGGAACAAGCCCAACCTGGAGAAGCTTTTCCTGGAGCACAACCTCTTGGAGACCCTCCCGGATGAGGCCTTCTTTGGACTGAGGAAGCTGAAGCAGCTGACCCTGGCTTCCAACCGGCTGAAAGGTCTCCCCGGCCGGCTCTTTGGGGAGATGCCTTTGCTCACCCAGCTGGACGTGAGCAAGAATGCTTTGCAGGCTCTTCCAGCGGGGGTCTTTGCCAACCTCACGGGGCTCACAAAACTCACCTTGTCCCAGAACCAGCTGGCAGGCCTCCCTCTCGGTGTTTTAACAGGCCTCCGCAAACTCTCTGAGCTCAATGTGGAGGCAAACAAGCTCTCATCTCTGGAGGGTCTCCTGCCACCTTCCCTCCCGGGGCTGAAGACCCTGAGGCTCCGCCAGAACCAGCTGGAGACCATCCCTCCGGGCCTCTTGGACAGCTTCACGAAGCTCACCTCCGTGTATCTCGGGGAGAATCCGTGGAGGTGTGACTGCCTCCTTCTCTACCTCCACCGATGGATGAGCAGCAATCCCAAAAAAGTGAAGGACGCCACAAAGGTCATGTGCGGAAGCCCCAAGGATCTGCAGGGCAAAGCAGTCAGTTCCTTGGCAGAAGATCAGCTGGTTTGCCCAACGACTCTGCCCATTTCAAGCACCGCTCTGCCCACAACGACTTTCCCTCCTCCTGCCACAACAACACTCCCCCCAGCTCCTAAAAAAGCCACTGTTGCTGCAACCACCTCCGTTTCTGAGCCTGCCACCACCACAAATGCAGCCACAACCCTCCGAACCACAGAGGCTCTGACCTCAACTCCTCAAATCACCACCTCTGAGAGTCTCACTGAAACCTCACAGACCATGACCACCAGCGGGACATCCTCTGAAACCACCAGCGCCACCAGCACAGGGGCTCCAACTCCAGCTCCTCACATCTCCATCATCACCCCTCCAAGTCCCACCTCAGCTGAGACAAGCCCTGAAATTGCCACCACTGCTGAGATCTCAAGTACAACCTCTGTGTCCATCACAACCCCGGCTACAACCCCCGAGGCAGCCACGACCATTGCTCACCTGCCACCCACAACCCCTCAGATCACGACGACAACAAAGGTTCAGACCACGGCCCCTGAAATTACCAGTGCTAGGACTGCGGCTGCCACAGCTGTCTTCACAACTGGGATGTCACACACCACCCCTTCTGGTGCCACCACAAGCACTCAGATCTCCACAACCATTGCCAGGGCAACCACCGCAACTTCTGATGCCTCCACAAGCCGCCCTGGTACATCAGCCACCACACCTGTGGTCCCTGGGACAACCAGCAAGGCAGTCGCCACCACACCTTCACCGCTTGAGACCACCCCTACGGAGACATTCTCTTTGGTGGCGGCTTCCACAATGTGCCTTGACAACGTCAGTCTTCCAGGTGGATGCAGGTCTGGGTCTTTGTCTCCCGAACCGACAGCCAGGCTGGACCCGACTACACGTCCTGAGACGCCCCCGTCGCCCACCTCTGCTGTGACACAGGCTCCCCTGCCCACCACTGGCTGGGTGACAACCTCTCCAGCTGCTGCCAGCTGCACCTTTTGCTCTTCGGCTGTCACGCCAGCCAGGGCTTCCCTTCCTCCGAGCCCAAGGCCCGGCCGTCCAGCCAGCCCCCCTCAGCCCCCGTCCCAGAAAATCCAAGCCTGGGGCTCTTCGCTGAGTTCCAACTACCGGTACTGCAAGCTGTCTGCGATGATGTATTTGTCCATGCTGTGTCTTGAAATCTGCTGCACCGCTGCCTTGGCCAGGTGTGTCTACGCCCTGCACAGAGCCACGCGCTCCATGGACTCGCCCACTGTGCCGGTCAAGCTGGTGAAGGTGAAGCCCAGAAGGATGAAGCTGTGATGGTGTTTGGCCACAGGAGAGACCTTCACTGTTAAGTTGTGGGTGAACATATCAGACGACACAGTGATTCTTCAAACAGCTCTTGTTTATTCATGGGTCAGAAAAGAACTGAACTGAAAGGTTCAGCCAGCCTGCTTATATAGAGCTCCACTAGAACGCAACAGTAACCATTTTCTGTAACTATCCAATCACTGAACATCACTTTCAATCCCTTATTTGCATATGTGGACCTGAGTGAAAACTATCTACAGTATCCCCCTGCTGGCCCAGGGTGAGAACTTCAGTACATAACTTTCATAGGATGCTAGAATCGTAGGGCTGTCAGGGAGTCCAGGGGTCATCTCGCTCAAGCCCCTGCAATGCAGGAATCGCAGCTAGAGAATCCCTGACAGACGGTCCTCCAAGCTCTGTTTAGAAACCTCCAATGGATCCTAGATTGGCAGAGTTGGAAGGGATCCCCAGCGGTCATCTAGCCCAACCCCATGCAATGGAGGAATCATGGCAAATTAAATGAGGCAGGTGAAGCAGCAGGGGTGTGCAGAGACTTTGGGTTGGGGGGGTGACATTGCTTTAGGGGTGGATTTACACACAGGGGGAAATGCCATAAGTCAGTCAGAAATTAAATTCTTACAAAAGAAAAAAAAAAAGCTATGTAAATATCACATAGAAATAGTTTGCTCTCTGGCGTCATCTGGTGTCGCATGTTTAGAACGCATTCAAAATGTTGTTTTTCCTAATGTAGCTGAGTCCTAGGGGTCTCCCTCACCAGTGTAACAATTTGCTTAAATCGTAAGCTTATCTTAGGTATGACTACTGAAATAAAAAATTAAGGTCTTATATATATTTGCCAGGCAAACACGTACATAAATGTATGGGCCACATGTCTGAGGCAGCACAGGAGGGCAGCCCTGGCACCATTTTGGCTCCCAAACTGACCAGATGTTTTCTCTGCAAGGTCAAAGGAAAATGGAAAAGACTCCCCATTGTCTTTTCATTCACAAAACCTGTCTTAAGGGTATGTCTGTGTATGAATAGGGTGAGCCTGTGACCTGATTCAGGAACTAAGTATTTGTCACTATAAAAGACTGGCCAGGCTCCCCAGGCAATCCAATCAAGTAAGCATTAATAGGTAACCTGCCAGACAGAAGAGAAACAATGCACTCAGATTTCTGCTGTAGACTGCCCTTTCTGTGATGTAGGTATGATGTTTCTGGCAGTGGTCTTGGACTCCAAGGTGGGCTCCAACCTGGGTTCTGGGTCCTCTTCCTCCTCCTTTCCTGCGTGTAAGGGGAGCACCCTGTCGCAACAGTTCAATAAAGATCAGGCTTACGAGCTGCTTTCCTTCTCAATATTCTCTGCTTGGCCTCTGTTATTTTCTCCGACCGATGGAGAACCTGCAAAGGACTCTGAAAGGGCTCTTGTGTCCCCCATAAGGAAATAAGGGCAGATTTCTGTTTATTACACAGGTCCTGCTGAGTGTGATCCCAAGAGACTCTCTCACAGGCACATTTGCACCCAGGATCATGCCCTGCTGCCAGCCTGTGCCAGGAGATGATTCTGTGGGGTGTGAAACACAGAGCAGTTAAACACAACATTCCTAGAGCAGACATGTTTAGACATGAGGAGGGATGTTTGTCCAGCTAGTAGATAAACTTCCTGTTTCCTCCTGGGCTGGGACAAACTTCCTCTGCATGTGACCAGAGGTGGGCGTGGCCTCACCTGTGCAGGTAACAAAAGCACAGGGCAGGACAGCACATCTCTCTCTTCTCTATTTTGCTTTCGTCAAAGAAGCATCAGCCTGAGATGCTATTGGCTCCAAAGGAACTATCTCCTTATGGGATAGATTCCAGGTGGATGTATTTTGTAACTTAAGTCTGCCTTCTGGGGTCCGTTTGTGAACAGAATGTGAGTAAACTCTTTTATATACTTTTATACAAGACTGTGTCGTGTCTATTCTTTTTATGAGGGAATAAAAGGGGAATTACCAGGGAACTTATTTTAGAGGCTTATGCAAGCCGGGCAAAAAACGTTATCCGCTGTGTAGGTTTAAAAAGGGGAATGTGACTCTGCTAAATTGTAGGACTTGTTAACACAAGTTGGGAAGGATATAATTCAACAATATATCCTCTCCTGCCTGCCTGGACATTCCCACAGATTTCTGGCCAGATGCCTGGGCTTTGGCTGCCCACCCACCCCCACTTCCATTGAACAACTCGGGCTCCCTAGGGGAGGGGAGAAATTTGTAGTTAGACTCCTAGAATGGTGGAGTTGGAAGGGACCCCAAGAGGCATCTAGTCCACCCCCTGCAAGGCAGGAATCACAGCTAGGGGCAGTCATTTAATGCAAGGCTGGCAAAGCGTGGGTGGCAACGAGGCAATGCCAGCAGGTGGCAAGGTTGCAGGGCCTGTTGTTGTTGTTGAATTCAAGATTAAACCGAGAAAAAGTCATGCATTTAAAAGCATTTAAATGCAGCCGCTTTCTGTGGTCTTGGTGATGTTCTCTTGCAATAACCAGAGATGCCAGGGACTCACAGCAACTGCAGCAGGAGGTGGGTTAAGGAGCACCCCTGAGAATACACAAAGGGCGTCTCAGCAGTTCTCTCCCAATGACTCCTGCCTGGAGGCTTTAGCTGTGCGGCAGCGCCTCCCAGTGGACGGAGGACAAATTCCAACGAGGAAAGGATTGCTATTGTTTCCAGCAAAAGTTCTGGAGTTAGACTCAGAAAATCATGGAATTGTAGAGTTGGAAGGGGACCCTGAGGGTCATCTAGTCCAACCCCCTGCAAGGCAGGAATCTGTGTTAGTCATTGTTAAGACAATGCCCATCCCTGGATAAATATATTGTTGAAGGACTTTTTTTTTTTTTAAGTACAATATCCCTAAGCCAAGCTTCTTTCTTAGAATTATTATGGGTCACTTAGCAGGATAATGACCCTTTCCCACCTCACTGCAAGCTGTTATGGAAATTACGGGGGGGGGGGGACATCTTTAAAGTTAAATGTTACAAATATTATGCCTGAATGTATCCTTTCAACTTGACAGCTCAGGGAAGTTACCTAGCTTTAAAAATAATATAAAATCAACTCCTTTGCCAGCTTCCTCCATTCCAAAGCTATTTTCCCCTTGAAAAAGGACTCCAGGAAGTTCCCAGAGGTGACAACTGCTGAGCTGATTGTTGGCCAAGGATAGCCTAATCCCATCACCAGACTTGCCTCAGGCTCCAGACATGCAAAGGAAGTTCTATTGTACTTTGTGTGGTGGGACTTCAGAGGTGTTTGCCTGTGCTAATCTTATACCTGGGTCTTGCCCTGCCATGTCTGCTTATGCTAATCTTGTACCAAGGACTTGTCTGGACATGTTTGCCAAAGTTAACCCCTCCCCTTTTTGTGACATGTCAGTGATGTAGCAATGATGTAGCAATGATTCTGTACGAACTGTATTCTGGGATATGGTGGGAAAGTTTTAAAAGTCTTTGTCACCCCATCCATGGGGCTCAAAATTCCTCTTTGAACCTGTTGTGCAATAAACTTTGATCTACAGCTATTTGCTCCGGTTGGTGGCTGGACTCCTTCCTTTATTCTGCAAGGACCTGCGATGAGCTGGGTGACTGAGCAGCCTCACACCTAGATTTTTCCATAACACAAGCTAAGCAACAAAGACTGTAATCAGATTTGAATTAACTGGGAAGAGACTTCAGCACAGGAGCATAAGAAGAGCTTGATCAGGGATCAGGCCAGTGACCCTTCTAGTCCAACATGCTGTTCTCACAGGGCCCAACCAGATAACCCAAAAGGAAACCCGCAAGCAGGATTCGAATGCAACACTTTTCCCTCTTGTGGTTTCCAGCAACTGGTATTCAGGAGCAGAACTGTGGTAGCCCTCTCCTCCTCCATGAACTTGCCCAGTCCTCTTTGAAAGCCATCTAGCTGGGTGGCCATTCCTGTCTCCTGCAGGAGGGAGTTCCACAGGTTGACTACGACTCCCAGCTCTTCTATGGCTTCAAAACACACCAAGGGGAAACACCTTGAGGTCCAGCTGCAGGATCAGTCCCTGCTCCAGGAACACAGCCGCAAGAACAGGCTGGGCAAGGATAGGACCCTGTTATGAGAATTATAAGGTCTAAGATATAAAAGAAATGTACCAGGCAAACACACACATAAATAAATAAATATATAAACCGCATGTCTGAAACAGCACAGGAAAAAGGTCCTGAAACCATTTTGTCTCTCCCAAATGGACCTCAAATGCTTCTCTGCAAGGACAAAGGAAACGGGAAAAACTCCCAATTGTCTCTTTGCTTACAAATCCTGTCTTAATGGCCTATCTGTGTATGAATAGGGTGAGCCTGTGACCTGGACTCAGGAATTTAGTATTTTCCATCACAAAAGAATGGCCAGGCTCTCCAGGTAAACCCATTAACAGGTTTCCTGCCAGACAGGATTTCTGCTGTAGACCCGCCTCCTTCTGTGATGTATGTATGATGTTTCTGGGGGTGGTCTTGGGCTCCAGGGTGGGCAATTTCAAAAGTCTGTATAAGGGCTTGCACACCATTGTTCTGGGTTCCTCCTCCCTCCTGCGTGGGGTGAGTGGGGACCCTGTTGCAACAGTTCAATAAAGATCAGGCTTACTAGCTGCTTTGCTTCTCAATATTCTCTGGCTGGCCTCTGTCATTTTCTCCTATTGATACAGAAACTACAAAGGACTCTATATGGGCTTTTGGGTACCCCATAAGGGAAAAGGAGCAGACCCCAATACCAGCTGATGCCACGACTGGCACCCTTAGTTAGTTTATTTCCTAACACTTATACACTGGTTGATTGCAAACAGACAAACCTCAAAACCTCAAAACAGTATACAGAAAGAAAAAATAAACACCGGGAAAATTTACAACAATGCTTTAAAACCTATGGAAATGTACAATACTAAAGCAGATTAAAATTTCACCTCCACTTTCCAAGCATCTGGGCAGCCTTATCTAAACATGAATATTTTTCAGCAAGGAGCCAGCAGAGGGCGCCAGCTAGCCATGTATGCTGGCTGCCCCGCTCCGCAGGGGTGAATGTTGCAAGCCTGGGTGTGCTTGGGAATCCAGTGCTCTCCCTGCAAAGCCTTTCCTCCTGTAGTTTCCAGCAGAGTCGCCCTCGAATCTGGCTTGCTGGTTTCCATAGGCATCCTCTACCCAGGGCCGCAGGCGCACAACATGTCCAGGGGTCCACTCTTAGATGTTCACCCTGGGATTCAATTTGGGAAGCAGCCCCTGGAGCTGCTGCGCTGCTGCCACCGCCCGCAACATCAGAGAGGGGCAGGTCTCCTAGGTGGGCAGAGGGAGGGAAGGCTGCCTGAGCTCAGGTCCAGGTGCCGTGGGCTGGAGCGCTTCTTGGGAAGGGCCTGGAGGTCGAGACCCGACACTCACCTGCCCTCCACCAGGTGGCAGAAAATGGTCTCAGGACTGCATTGCTGAACCCTCAGCTCCAACAACATCTGGAAAAAGCAGAAGCCAAGTTGGGGGGGGGAGAGAAGAGGCAAGAGGAGCAGGTAACCAGAGCCAGGTGGGCTGATGCCTGGCAGCTTATCCATGTTCCTCTCCAGCCCTTGGGGTGGGTGGGTTGCTCACTTCAAGGGGCTTCTGGCAAGCGGAGCTGAGCCCAGGTGAGAGAGGCCTGCAAGGCCACCTGGACTTTTGGGGCGGAGGCAGAGGGGGAGCATTAGCACAACATCATCACATCCACGGTGGGTGGGGTGCTCAGGAGGCAGGCAAGGACCTGTAAAGGTTTCTGGTGGGTGGAAGAGCATCTTTTCCGGAGGTCTGCAGATGGAATGACCCCCCCCCCGTGAGGAAAGGTGGGTGGGATTTTTTTTAGTTTAGAGAAAATGCGAGGAAGGACTCCTCCTCAATTCTGTTTGCCCTGCTGCTTTCCTCCTGAGGTTTAGCTCTGAATCGGAACAACTGCCAACTGGGCTTCTTGCAGACTGCTGTTTGTTCCGATTGAACGCTAAAGAGCAGGTTTTCCAGGGGAAAGTGGCAGGAACCCAGGCCTGGAAGCACAGGACAAGCAGAAAACGGCTCAGACCCTCTGCTTCCTGCACACGGGACAAGGGGAAGCGTAGACAAGCCCAGAGAGAAGTGACATGAGAGGAGTTTATAAAATTGTGCACGGCATGGAGAGGAAAGCTTTCCTCCCTCTCTCCTAACACTAGAATTGGTGGACATTTGTGGAATGTTGGACAATACAGGATGAATACCTGGAAAGACTTCTCCACGCAGCGCAGAATTAGACGACGGAACTTGCTTCTGCAGGAGGCGGTGACGGCAACCGACTTGCACGCCCCCAAAAGAGGCTTGCCCTCCGCCCCAGCCAACCAACTATTTATGATAACTAGTGGAAAATGTTGCTCCGGCATCTCTGATGATTGTGTAATGAAGCCGGGCAAAATGTCCTGCCTTTGTCCCCCCAGGAACCATGAAAGTCCCTCCCCTTGTTTCCAGGCAGCTCTGAAAGGGCACAATGGCAAAGAGGCCTAACGCTGGGGCGGGCAGAACGCCCCCCGGCCCCCTGGAGGCGGAGGCCATGGAGGGGAGAAGAGATCCTGGGGTCATAAAGCGAGGAAGCCCTGGGATGCCCCGCCAGGGACGGCGCTTTGCAGATGCGTGAAATCACTCCCCAAACCAGCGGTGCAGGGGAAACAGGAGCATCTACACAGCATAAACTGATTTTTTTAGAAAAGATTTTGGCAAAATGCATCCATATTTTCTTAAAAAGACAGGAAAAATAGCACAACATCTCCCCACTCTCCTCCCACAGCAACAACACTGCCATGTTTCAATAGCGATATTTCTAAATGTAAAGAATGATACAGTTCCGATTGCCGTTGGGCAACGTATCAGAATAAAATTATGTAGAGCTTGCAATAGATGGTTAAGATAACCAAATGCCTAATGTCACTTGTGGGAGTTTATTGGCTTATTGGTATAAGAAGTAAAGGACCACCATATTGCCAAAAATAATGAGTTTGGTTTTTCTTTTCCATGGGAAAGTTTGGTTTTTTGGGCCGTGTTTTCTGCAGTCGCTGTTATCCTTGCATTCTAATACCAGAGTCCCAATGCAAGGCCTTGGGAGTCTCTCCAGGCTCAGGCAATTGAGAATCTCACGGTGGTTGAGGAAAATCTATGAATCCTTTATTCCCAAGTTGCCTGTTGGCATCCTCAAAAGTGTTCAGGAGAGTCAGCTGTGGAGAGCATCAGTTGATTCTAGCTGTGATGGTGCGTTATTTTTTAAAGCATGCTATTGACCTGTTACCGCACTGACTGGCAGCAGCTGCCCAGAGTTTCAGAGGAGAGGCGTTCCCAGCCCTGCCTGCAGGTGCTGCTTGAACCCGGGACTTCCTGCATGCAGGGCAGGGGCTCTCCCACCGAGTGATGACGGCTTTTTACCCATTTTATGTCACGCAGGCCCCGAGGTGGTTTCCACAGAAGTGTGCATGGAGTACAACGAAATCAGGAAAATGCCATAAAGTACAATCTGGACACGCAAACGGATGCCTTGTCATTCCACTCCCATCGTCAGCAGTACACAAAGGAGAGAAGAAACAAAAGGCGGTTTCCAAAGGCTTTGAGAAACAAAGGGGTTTTCAGCAAGTGGAAAGAACCCGTTAAGAGCCCCCCCAGCACCCAGTCCCACTCACTGACCCTTGCCTCTTGCCCTGCTCTCTCCAGGCAAAGGCCGGTGCATCAAAGCTCTGCATCCAAGAGGGTTTTTGTTTCTGCCCTGCAAAAACCTGCTCTTTGGCGCTCAATCGGGGCAAACATCGATTCGGGTTTTCTGCAGATTGCTGTTTGCTCCAACTGAGCTTTAAAGAGCGGGTTTCCATGGGGAAGGCTACGGAGCAAGAAAAAGGGTGTTCAGACATGGAGCTTTAAATCATGGACCATGCCTGGAAAGCGTGGAGGAAAGGAAAGGGTGGAGAAGGCTGAGGACAGTGCAGAAAACCTGGAATGCCAAGAGGGGTTTGTGTGTGTGTGTGTGTGTGTGATGACGCCACTCAGATTCTCTATAAAAACCAACAGACTGGTGCCCATTCCAGAGAAAATGCCATGCTCAGCATTTTCCAACTTGGAAAGGTGCCTTGTCAAGCCCAGTGTCCTCATACAGCTGTGCTAGCAGAGGCTGATGGGAGTTGTGGTCCAAACATCTGGAGGGTGCCATGTTGGGAAAGGCTGGGCTGACAGGGAAGGCAGCCACTCCCCATCACTGCAGGAGCCCCGGAGGAGAAAAATCAGGAACGGCCCAGGAATGCAACAGAGCGGTGGCAACTTTGTTTTTTGTTAACTCCTAAACTCAGCTTTAATTCCTAACTGATTGCAGGTGTCTTTTTGTAAATGGCTTGCATTAATGTTGCCTGCTTTAAAATCATCATTATAACATTGAAAATCATCATGTTAACATTGAAAATGCACTTTTGGGGGTCAGAGGGCAGAGTTGACTTTGCAAATCAGCAGTAAATAGGGATTCAGAAGACGCAAACCTCTCCAGGACAATAAATCTGAGCGCTTTTCTTACAGGACTGAGACGACCAACATTCCCTAAGCAGGGCCTGCTAGGAACAGTTTTATTTGTGACCTCCCTGGGTTTGCTGCTTGGCCAGTGCCGCGCAGAGAGAGCCCTCGTGGTCCCTGCGTCTGGGCTGAGGGCGGCTGAAACGTGGCCAACGAAGGAACGGGTGGCTAATTGCCACATAAATTGTGTCTGTTCCCCTGGAGAGGGTGAAGGGCCAAGAGCTCCTGCCGGCCTGCCATCGCCTTAATCAAGTTATCCCCGCGTTGTCGGGGCGTCCGGGCCTGGCTGCTCCCGTCTAGAGGGGGGAAATGCCCTGACAAATTCCTAGCAGCGGGAAGTGGCAGCTCTCCTGCGTGGAAGGATGAAAAGTACCTGCAACCTCGGCTGGCCTCCCTGCTCTCTCACGCTGGGAGAAGAACTCTGCGACCAGCTCCATGCTGCTTTCGGAGCCCGGCTGGAGAATGGGATGCGCCTTTGAAGGGGAAGGCTCTTCCCAGGGACATGAGGCAGGCGGAGGCAGCACGATGGCGCTGGCAGTGAGGATGCTGGAAAAGGCTGCTTTGCTGCCCCCAGCCCCAGACGCGGCACTTTCTCTCCTGTTATGGGGCCCATGGGGACAGGGGGCAGCCGCAGTGCTGGATTTACGTATAAGCTAAGCAAGCTATGGCTTAGGGCCCCACTCTCTTGGGGCCCCCGAAATAATTAAAGAAAAAAAATGGATGTACATTTCCGAAATATAAGATAAAAAACAAATAAAATAAAACCTACATACAATGTTTTGTAAGGGACGCAGGTGGCACTGTGGGTTAAACCACAGAGCCTGGGACTTGCTGATCAGAAGGTCGGTGGTTTGAATCCCCGCGACGGGGTGAGCTCCCGTTGCTCGGTCCCTGCTCCTGCCAACCTAGCAGTTTGAAAGCACGTCAAAGTGCAAGTAGATAAATAGGTACCGCTCTGGCGGGAAGGTAAACTGTGTTTCCGTGCGCTGCTCTGGTTCGCCAGAA